TTTACCCACGTTCTCTTTTCTTCCTGGCTTTGTGAGTTGGGACCTGTGCCTGCTACCACACGGCCCCTCTGGGCATCCCTGAGAACCTGCTGCTCTTGTCTGGGGCAAGTCTCAGGGATAGTGACTCTCAGTCATGGCAAGGCTGGGAAATTGATGTGATGTGCAACTTGTGGGTATGATGAGGACCACACTGAAGACTTCTCTAAAGGCAGGTTTCTATGTATCGGTTTTTCTCTCTCTGGAATTAAATAGGATGTGGTTGTGACACTGTGGCTCAGGAGGATCAGATCCTGCCCTCTTCCTTGAAAAGTACGTTATAGGATGGAGCAAGAGCCAAGTGGAGTGGGGGCCCGAGTCAGAGCCTACAGCTGTTTGCCTCAGTCCAGCACCTTCTTTTTGTGGGACTTGGCTCCCAGTGAGCCCTGATATGCTGTCTTTCAGTCTGTCCAATGGGGCATGTCCCCCTTTCTGCCAGGGGAGTTGTAAAGACTGGAATAATGAGAACACATCAGTGTGGCTGGTGTTCTAAGGGAGGGAGAGGCTTGCTGCTTCCTGACTACAACTGTCTGGTCTAAGATGGGGATGTAGATGGACCTCTGGCTTACATGGTTGTCACAGAGATGAATGCGATAAGGGGGATGAGGATGGCGCTGTACACATGTCAGACACAGCAGGAATGTTTCAATGACCCAGTTTGTTCTCAGTTTGACAGATACTGAAGATTTTATCCTCATAATCCTTCAGTTTTCAGTGATGAGGAAACAGGGCTCAGAGAGGTTAGGCCAAGTGTCTACTGTCATACACCCTTAGCCTGAAGCTTGGTGGCTTCAGAATCCTGTTCTTAACCACTAGGTCCAACTTTTGGGGACATGTCCAGGGATGCTTTCTAAGGCAAAGGCCCACCTCATGTTTCTGGCTAAGGAAATGGTATATGGCTTTGAAATTTCAGTGGACTCACTGAAGATCTGTGGGTAGGGACAGTCACTTTATCAGGTCACTGTTTCACAAAATCAGCCTCAAGAAAGCTGAATTGCATCAAGGAGACCCAGGAGACAGGAGGCTCATTAAGAAGGCCCATGCTAAGGACAGTCACAGAGAATGACATTGTTTTAGACTGAGTCACTATGGAAACTATGACAACTGGGACATGACCTTCTGTCTCACCAAGACATGCAGGTCAAATAGAATGGCAAAGTTCTCCACTAGAGGGACTGAGGTGGCGAGGACTGGACCATGTGGCCTTCTGTCTTTCCCTTCTGCTCTTACGGGTGGTCACACACCGAAGCCAGGTCTCTACTGTAGGTTTTGTGAGTAGTAAAATAAGTGTTTTCATTCTCTTACTTTCTGATTCTTTTGTCTGTGACTTAATTGTTTCAAACTCTGGTGAGAAGACATTATTAATTCTTCCATCCTGAAAACAATGGATATAGGCTCAGGAAGGTCAAGGCTATAACGGCTCCCAATGAACTAGTACTAATGGCTGACTCCTTAGCATGTGGGAGAGCTGGCCCCATACTTCACGTGGGGCGTTTGTTACCACATCTCACGGTGGGTGTGTGTCACAGGAATACCTCCAGCTCCAGAATGTTCAGCAAGGGACTTTTGGAAGCAATTGAACAACAGGAGTGGGCTGGGGTGGGGCTGAGCTGCTTCAGAGAGACCAGTCCTGGGAAACTTGGGAGTCTCTGGGCATTCTGTTCATAATGTGGGAGCTGGGCAGCTTGTGGCTGCCAATCCCAGGAATGAATTTGCTCAGGGCTAGTTAATAGTGGGAAAAATCAAAGAGCGCCAGGCTGCTGGGGGCAATGCTGTTGTTCTAGAGGTCAAGGGGGTGCCTTGAACTTTGGTTTGCTCAGAGGTGTGTGTGTATGCTGGGGACAGGAAAGTAGTTTGGGAAGGGGTACAGGCACATGTTGTAGAGCAACAGCAACATTTTGGCCCTATCTCTGTTTGCATCAGGGCTGTGCCAGCTGGTTGCAGAAAAAGGGCCTGAAGTTTCCAGAATGATGGCGGAACATGGAGTTCCCACTTTGGTTGTCTGAGAACTTCCTGAGTCTTTCAGCCAATTGCTTAATTCTCTTGTCTCTTTTGCTCCTAGCTCTGTGTTTGAATAGAGGCCACAGTAAAATGCAACATTCAGAAACAAAGTCTTTTTTTTTTTTTTTTGAGACAGGGTCTTTCTTTTTTTTCTTTTTCTCCTTGCTGTGTTTTTTAATAGAGGCCACAGTAAAATGCAACATTCAGAAAAAAAATTTTTTTTTTTTTTTTTTTGAGACAGGGTCTCATGTATCCAAGGCTGGCCTTGAACTCATTCTGTAGCCTACCTCCACAGTATTGGGATTATAGGTGTACACCATCATACCCAGTTTATGGGGATGGAACCCAGGGCTTCATACACACTAGGTGAGCACTCTATCAGCTCAGCCACATCCCTACTGCTTCAGATTTTGTTTTTTGAGAATCTGAATGGGTTCATGAGACTGTAAGGAGGTTTCACCATGAAGTCACAAAACTTCCACCACATTTTATTTTGATAGAAAATATGACTGAGCTTCATTGAAAATGGGATCAGGGACCTTGGGCCTCCTATCCTTCAAGTCTGACCTTTAGCTTCCAATCCAGATTCCAGGTTCACATTTAAAATGCAGCCCAACGTTTAAATTTGCATACTCCTCAGAAATGAAGCCATGTTTCCAGCAATCTCTTCAGACTAGAAGTAGGTAAATGAATTATAAAACTCTGTTTTCCAGGGTCAGAAATTCATGTTAATTTTTGAGCGAAAAGCTGGACATCAAGGCTGTCATTCTCTCTGGAGTTTTGGATGCTCCCCTCTGTCACCACCTTAATCACGAGTCTGGTCCCCAGAAAACTGACGATTAACTCCCTCTTTCAGGGGTTTCCAGTTAGCATTCAGTATGCCTCTGGGAGGGCAGAGTACAATAGTGAACAGTCTATACACATATCTACAGACAAGGGCAGGGCGTTTGTTACCACATCTCATGGTTGGTTATGTCACAGGAATACCTCCAGCTCCAGAATATTCAGCAAGGAACCTCTGGAAGCAACTGAACAACAGGGGTAGGCTGGGGTGGGGCTGAGCTGCTTCAGAGAGACCAGTCCTGAGAAACTTGGGAGTCTCCCTTACTGTCAACACCCCTATTCTGAGCCCTGCCATTATTAAGTCAGTGTGGATATTCTTTATTCTTTAATCAGTGACCACTGAGATATGTAAGGTGTGGAATAAGTTTCCAAATGGGTGTTTCACCATATTTGTACGTCCATTTGAATGGTGTGTTCTTTATATGGTGATAACCCAAGGAGGCTGCAATGGAGAATACAATGCCTTCACAAGACATGTTATTAAGGTCTTCCTTGGGTACTGGTACCAGAGCTGGATGCAAAACCCCAACCATGACTTCACTGCTGTCTTACTTGCTTGGTCCAGTGTGGTACTGTGTAAACTGCATTCCCTCATTTTCTGGATCTGAACTCAGATGATACTAAATGTTTATCTCAAGGGGCAAAGAGAGGCTTGCAACTGTGTAGTTCTGCAGCAGAGTAAGGACAAGCCTCATGACACTGGCCCAACCTTGGCACAGGGAGCCCATCTGCAGGAGACTAACAAAGGTTTCAGGCCGAGGTCACTCTGCCATGGGCCTGGCTACTCATGAGTGGTGCTGTGGGAAATAGAAATGTTCTTCTTCCTCTGCCCACCCTCAAGACTGTGACCTGGTATTCCTAAGGCTGTATAGCTATAAACAGGGCCAGCAGTCTGCTGAGTTCAATGGCTATCTGCTCATGTGGATTCTACCTTGTTTTACATCTGTCTTGAGGCCCATCTTCCTCACATCCAGGAATCTAACTGGGAGGAAGTGTGCCACCGATTCCTGTGTTGATGGGCATCTCTTATGCTTGTGTGAACTTCACTGGATAGGGCATACAGAGTATCTGTACTATTTATTTATCTACCACTACGAAAAAAAAACACTACAAAAGGTATGCAAAAGGATACTCTACTCCTTCAGTGATAATCCCCTGTTCACAGCTAAACAGAGATAATCTAACATCACAGAGGCGGGACTGGAAAGATGGCTGATTTTTGCACCTACAGTCCTGTGCTTATAGCTGTCAGCAGGGAGAACATCTGAAGCTGTACTGAAATGAGCAGATTTGACCTCAACAATCACCACAGACAACATTATAAAAAGTACTGGAAAGGACTGGAAACAGTATTGCATATTAGTATCTGGTCCCACTTACAGTGAGTGCCATAGCACCAAATGTGCATGCGCACCCTGTTTTAAATGCCAGTACATCTCAAATCTAACTCGGGTCCACTTTAAAGTTGAAAACACAGAAACATGTTAAATATAGGAGATTGGGATTTTAGTGTTTACCCATTCTTTTTGCTGGAACTGAAGAAGAGAGAAGCAGATTTTACATCACGGTGCATCTACATAAATTCAGTTCATCTTGAGTTTGTTTGGGCAAGATAATGTTACAAGACTCACAATGGAGTCAAAACAAAATGAAAGAAGGAAAAAGCACACACACACACACACACACACACACACACACACAAAAAACTCCCATCTCTGGAACAAGCAGCTCTTTTTCTCAATGATGACTGTAAGACTTTATTATGTGGTTGATTCTGAGTTTGAAATGAAACATGCTGGTATCTGAAGTGACTGGGATGTGGTCTTGGTGATCATGCAGTGGTAGCATCACGATGCTCATAACTCTTACTAGGACAAGCACACACTCTAAGGTACAAATCACAGACAGGACCTGGGGCAGGAAGCTGCGGAAAATGGAGGAGAGGGAATGACAAATTGTGATTGCTAAGCTGTCACCAACAGGTCTGCCTTATCCTAGGAACCCTCTGCCTCTGATAGCCACTTATAACACAACATGAAGGCATGGGATCTGGGCACATTTTAGCACACAGTGGTACTCAAGACACATACCATCCACAGAATAAACCACAGAACAAAAAGTGAGGTCATGCAAAATCTTACTTTTACCAGCTAGAAGGAAAACTTCAGCAACTTTTGGTACAGAATATAGCCACCTTTCAAACATAATTTAATTACTTGTGGACATAATATGAAACCTTATCTTAAATACAATAGTTTCAAAAAATGCTGTTACAATATAAAACCACAACAAAAGGTGTGCAAATAGACATTTATATTGGCTAAAAAAGGCAGTGAGAGGAAGGGGCAAAGCATTTTAGAAAACAGCTCCTGAAGCCACTATTTACAGTTCTGCTTTACCTCTGAATGCAGGTGGCGGGGCGGGGCAGGGGTGGGGGGGCTGGGGTTGGAGCTGTCTCTCTTCCACCAGCTGACTGTGGGATGCAAGAACAAGAGTGAGCAAAATATGCCAGAGCATCGGAAGCTTTGGAAGGTTGTCACCTGGAGTCTATGAATTTGGATAAGGCCTGGCTTTCTGCATAACTGCATACTGAACAAAAGCTGCCCACAGCTCTAGTTCCTCAAACTCCCCCTTCACACAGTGTCAATCATTATAGTTACAATTTTATTTCCACTTTCAAAACACCACATTTTTCTGAAAGCAAAGAAATCCATGACTCTAGAGACACCTTTGTGAACTCAATTCCTGCAACAGAACTCAAAAGCACACCAGGAAGTTATTTTTATTTATAGAACCTATCTTTCCAAAGAAGCAGTGTAGCTTGAGACTGCTGGGTGGGAAAAGCCTTCAGGTGCCTTTTATCTTTGGAAAACTTCCCACAACTTCAATTGATTTAGAATTCATTTAGGTAGGTGACTTTCAATGAGGAGGAAGTTTGTCCCCCTGTGGCATCTGGAAACACTGGGAGACATTTCTGGCTATCAATGAGGGGTACTACTGACGTCTACAGGGTAGTGACCAGGGACACTGCTAAGGAGGCGACAACGCACAGAACAATCCTCACAGTGATGATCCAGCTTTAAGTCTCAGTAGGGCTGAGATGAATCACCCTTGCCTTGGGTTAAATGTTGAGTTACTTATGAACAATTTTCCCTACAGTTCTTTGGGTTCACCTCAGAAAGTTTCTGTGAAGTCAGTACTGCAAACTCTTGAAATTATATGTATTTTTTTTTTTTTCTGAAGTGGTAGAGAGTAATGACCTAACAAAGAATCTCGAAGGAGGCCCTTCCTGGCTGATAACTGACTTGGCTTCAGAGAGGCATCCCTGTCTTGGTATGGCTGGACTGGCTCTAGCCTCTAGCATCACCTGTCCCTTGCCTGTGAGACCTGGTGGGCATTCCTCTCTGGGAACCTGAACCAGTCACACTGTGGCCCGATCATTCCAATATTCTAATACCACTCCTGGGGTGAAGGTGCACAGTCCCATGTCCTGTAGACACATACTACTTTGTCTTTGTGCTGGAGGGTTTCAAAATATTTGTAAATTTGGTTTAAAAACAGGATTGTTCTGTGTTTTAGTCACTGAGATGCTGGGCTCACATATTAAGCTAAAAGAGTCATTCTGAATCATGGTCTTATGGATTTTCAAACAATAAACAGTGAGAGTAGGGAAAGAATTTTACCAGGATGAGGACACCCAGGTTCACAGCTATAGGCAGAACAGAGACTTAATGAAAATGAAGGGGTGGGGTTGGGCTCTGCTGGGGATATCAGGTCTCGGTCTCAGGTTTAACGGGCCCAGGGAAGACTAGATGCCCAGAGAACTGAGAGTGGGATTTAGAAGAAAACTTTGGCTTCTGAGGAGTTTTCTGTATGGGAAGTTCAAATTAAGGTTCAAACTTCAGGAGTGGTATTTAAAACACAGTGACTTCAGGAGTGGTATTTAAAACACAGTGGTAGGCTTTGGGATGTGAAAAGCAGAGAGATGACAAAGCCACTAAGAGGGCCCCCCACATCTGCCCTTGGGAGCTCAGAGCTGTCTCACTGGCCAAATGCCTCCTGAAGGCCAGGCTCATCAGGTAGCTGGGGTGTTATTGTGAGGCTCAACAGTCTCTTCCTCCCCTTGCCCAGGGGAAACTTTGAGCACAACTTGCCCAGATGCTAGTCTCCAAGGCAGAATATGAATAGTATCTTTCAAACTTCTGGTCCTGGATACAGGTAGCCTGAGATCATGTTCTCCACATAGGCTGCTGTCCCAGCTGCCTCACACCTGGGTCCTGTGGCTCACCAGCAGAGCTCCCTGAGATGGCCCCACCTCAGTGGCTGTGCTCAGTGCTCCTAGGGACACAGAGGACACACAGGGCATGAACTCTGTGCTCACAGCAGGGCCCACCTTACTCCTTCCTGGATAATTGTTTTAGTCATTTCTCTAAATGTTCAGGCTCTGTTTGAAAGGGATGCTAGGAAGCCATTGGTAGAGGATTTCAGCTAGTAGTCAACAAAACCGTCTAGAGGGATGGATGTTCTAAGTGCTCCCAGTACAATGCAATCCTGCCTCTAACAACAAAAACTTGTTTTCAAAAGCAAATAAAATCCCAACCAACCAACTTTTGAAAAGAACAAAAGCCACCTGCAAATCCACACCCAACACTGTCCACGTGGGTCCAGCTGCCGGGAGGTGAAGGCAGTTGTCCTTGTGCTTCTGTAGGCCCTGGCTGGGCTTAGCTCATGTGGAAGCGATGCTCCCCCCGTGTGATATGGGATGAGAACTCGTACCTGTCCTGGCTGTGGTAGCCACACATGTTACACTCAAAGGGATCCCGGAAACCGTGGCAGCCCATATGGATGGTGTACATGACGTGATCCAGGAAAAGCACCCTGCAGTGTTCACACTTGTACACCTTCAGCTGCTCACCGCTCGTGCTGACCACGCGGAAGGCATCCTGCGAGTTCTCTGAGGCCGCCCTCAGCACCTCGTAGGCGCGCTGCTCCTCTTTGAGTGCCAGCCCATTGCGGGCATGTGGGTTGATGTGGTTGGTCAGGTAGATGAGGCCAGCACGCTGCTCCTCTGCGTTGCTCTCGGTGTCCGTGGAGTCTTGGCAGCTGTTGCTTGGGGAGGCCTCTCGCTCTGAGGATGCCGACTTGGCCTTGGACAGCAACAGCAAGTTCTCCACTGCACTGTCCTGTGCGGAGTGGTTGGACCTTGGAGGCCCATCTGTGGGGGGCTTGTGCAGCTGGTACATGGGACTGATGACTGGCACCACTTCGGAGCCACCGGGGGGCGTCTGAACCAGTGGGCGCAGGGACTCAGCTCCCAGGTAGTTGATGGCATTGTTGATGGCCTGGTCCATCACATGGGATGTCATCATTTCATCCTTCTCATAGCTGGTACTGTCATAGGGCATGTCTGACAGACACTTGTCTCCTGTGGGAAGCAGGTAACCATGAGTGAAATCTATACCTGGGGGACTGGAAGGCATCCTAGTGCCCCTGCAGAGAGGGCACATCTGCACCCACACAGGAGGGTAAGAGTGAACATCTTGCACAGGGGTCTACTGAACATCTTGCACATTTAGAGAAATGTGGTTGATCCATTAAATAAATAGGGAAACCAAAGATTATACCTGACAGCTTAAACAGTGCAGATTTCACCAGGCAAACTCATACTTCTAATTTTCATAAAGTATGGTGAAATTAAACATTATCAGACTTAACTATTTTAAATAGTATTCCAAGTGTATACTGCTTAATCTATCCTAAACTTATAAAATTAAAATGCACAATCATAATTGATAATGATATGTGATATGCTTAAAGCACTGTATGATATATTAAATTTATCATTTTGATAATCTAGAAAAACATGTATTAGAACACTAACACATTATGCCAAATGAATAACACAAAAATTGGTAGGCCCCAGTACACAATGAAAGTAGAAAAAACACATAAACATAATCCTCTGAACCCTCTCTTCTCCAGTGAAGAGCTCAGCAGGAATGAGGCCGGAAGCAGGAAGCAGGAAGCAAACAAAGGCTCTACTGTGGAGCAGGGTGGGACACACACCATTCTTTCACTCTTTACAAACATGCCCAACAGTAAAGATAAACAGGGAACTGATGGGAGAACTCAGAGGTGATGGGGCCCTGACCTCGAGAAACAGACTCTCATATGATTAGTTTGTAGGACTACATGAACTCTGCTATAGCCTGGACCTTTGATGCCTCCAAAGGCCCATGTGTCCAAACTGTGGTCCATGGACTGCATGAATCCCAGGAGAGCAATGAATGTGGCCCAACATGTTTGTAGATGACAGTGTCTTATCCCAATGCCAAATGGTTAGATACCCTGTACTGTGAGGTTCTGTAATCTTTAGGAGGGTCTAATGGGAAGATAGATAGAGGCTGTGTCCTCAAAGAGGTGCTGGGACCCTGGCCCTCATATCTTCCTCTTTTGCATCCCAGCCACAAGGCAAGTATTTCTGCTCTAACACCTACTCTCTCCAGGATATGTTGTCTCACCACCAGCCCAGCACAACAGGATCAATGGATCAGACAAGGAACCTCTAAGCAGTAAGTCAAAATTAAAGTTTCCATTCTGTAAGTTGACTATCTCAGGCATTTCTCTATAGTGGTGGAAAGCTGGCTAATATAAGCTTACTTCCCTGGTACCCCTGAAATATGAGACTGGATTTGGCTTTATGGTGATTAGTTTGTGGGTAAATGTATCAATAATGAAATAAAATGAACTTCCTTAAAGATATACCTTCTCAAAACATTGTTGTTAAATCCAGCATGAAATCATGGCTCAGTTAACAGACTCATTCATTACAGCAATTCTTCATACTCCTATTGGCAGGACTAGCAACTTGTACACCTTGTCAGTGATGGTGAGAGAGTAAGTCATTGCACATAAGGCTACTCACAGGACAGATGCACTGTTTACATTGTACCCAGACTCTGTTTTTTTCCCTCCTTCAACACATCTGGTTGGATAGTGGGACTAAAAGGAGAGCCAGTGAAAATAGTTCCCATCCTTAGATTCGCCGAGCTAGCAGGGAAGATACACACTACATGTAATGATGTAATCCATCTCCATCTGAGAAATCCCAAGAAAAAAGGAAGGCTTCCTCCTAAGAGCCAACTGGGTGAGTGAGCTTTTGTGTCCCACTGTTGGAGACACTGGCAGGGACTGTCCTCAGGGGGACATGGTGGGACTCTGTGAAGGTCCAGGGAGCAGAGCTAGTGTCCAAGTGGTAGATAGGATCATAAACTGAAACCCAGACCAAACTGACTTTGTCCAAATAAAAATGGACACTGAAGGGTCTGAAGGAAGCGACCTTCCAGCCACAGCCAGCGAATGCACTAAAGAGGTACAAAAGTGAGGGAGGGGCTGTTCAGAGGCAGGTTGTGCCTGAAGGTGGCTGATGAGGCTGGTGGCAGAAGATGATCCCAGCACCTCTCATCAGACATTGAACTCTTTACCTTCCCTAAACTCCTCTTTACTGACAGTAGGACAAACTATTCCACAGTTCATAAATCTACTCATAGTCATTGAAAAAAAAAAAACTGTGACCATTTATGATGGCCAGGAATATATTCCTCACTATTCTAGGAAATATCTTCACATTGTGTTTCTTATGCTTAATGGATGCGTACCACATGACAGTTTGTTTTCCTTTGCTTTCATCTACTGAAAGCGGCACATACCCTGATAACGGCATAGTGTGATGCTTAGACTACAGAAAGAAAACTTGTCTACACCCAGTTACATCCTCTCAGAAACTGGACAGAATGAAATCCCTGTGTAGGGGATGGTAGGGACCACTGAAGTGGCCTTTCTTTCCATTCAAGGGCAAAGTAATTGCATAGCATGCCTAAAACCAAGTTTGTGGGTTTTCCCCCCGTTTTTTTAAAAATCCAGGTGCTACTTGGCTTGTTACATGAAAACAAGGTCTAACCTGCTACCAAACCCTAGCGAAAAGAGGAGGGTGTGGGCTGGCAGTGCAACTCCGCTGGATGTACAAGTGTGTTGTCAGCACAGGTGGTGCTTTCCTGTTTCTCCCTGACATCGAGGTTCTGTGGTTTTCTAGGCAACCACTAACCTCTATTGTTTCAAAAACTTAGTATCAACAGCAAATGGGTATAGGAAAGAAAGCAAACATACATTCCAGATTACCATGGCATATTAAATATACCCATGAAATTTCTATATCCATATGAGAAAAATACAAACCTACAAAATTCACTACTGAAACCTATCATCCATCCGGCCTATGTATCTATCTAATCTATCTATCTATCATCTATCTATCTATCATCATCTATCATCTACCTATCTATCTATCTATCATCTATCTATCTATCTATCTATCTATCTATCTATCTATCTATCTATCTATCTATCTATCTATCATCTATCATCATCATCTATCTATCTAATCTATCTATCTATCTATCAATGGATATATAGTTTAGATATATACATATATGTATGTATGTTTACATAAGCTTATAAAACATTGCTTCCTGATGGCTTTTTCAAACCTTCTTGGTCTTATCTTTCCTTCCCTATCTATCTATCTATCTATCTATCTATCTATCTATCTATCTATCTATCTATCTATCTATCGGCTGTTCATTTTCTATTTTACATTTATCTATGACCCAGGAAAGAAACAGAAAATTCTTGCATGAGATGCAAGGCAAAGCTTTGGGTAATGGCACTAACAGATGGGATCAACAACATCCTCAGTACTCCCCAAAAATCCTCATATCGACAGGGAAACCTCTGATTCAATAGGTTCAATTGTTCTTTTTGCTTTTCTGATCACAGGGCAGCTGAAAGCTCTGCTACAAGAACCAAATGACATCAAAGTCCTTTGCATGGCGGCTGGCTCTCTAGCGTAAAAACAAAGACCTTGATGAGTTGCACTGCCTGGGAAGCTGAACCAAAGCCCTGAAATGTCCCCTGTGGAGACAGGAAGTACTAAACACCATTGGTTGAGGGCATTTAACCAAATCTGAAAATAAAGCAAACACTCAGATGGGAACATTTTTTAACAAAAGCTGAACTCTGCCTCACCTGAACTCCCCCAACACCATCCTTGGCATTCTTTCAGGATTTAAAAAAGCCATAGGTCTCATAGGAAAAAAGTCTCAGATACAATGGGAAGAGCAGTGAAATGTCAATCAAGCTACATCAGACCAAGTGATAAGCGGGATAAAAAGAAGTGTCATGGTTACAGTGAACACATTTTCTGGCAATACAAGGCAAGAAAGGAAGTAAAATGAACGAAGTTAAGTCCATCCTAGGGAAAAAAAATAAATTTAATTCCAAGAAGAGAGAAAATGCTTCACAATTACCTCATGACATGGAGTCAATTTTTAAGGATATTCAAAGGTAACATTCAAAAACAACAGTTCACATCTCAGCAAACAAAATGAAATCTAAAACATTACTACAGACTTAACGCATAAATTTGAAAACAAGCACTAGCATAAAAATGACTAAAAATCAAATTACTCAGAAAGAGGGAAAATAGAAAACACTAACAGTGAATCCATGTAAAGAGACAAAGAAATAAAAATAATGAAATGCTAACAGACATGGAAGACAAATTACCCAATCTGTGACACGAGTAGAGATCACAGGGGACAGAAGAAAAGAACTGATGTGAAAGAGAATTTCTAAGAAACAAGGAGGGAAAATCCTCAGGATTACAGAGGTAGGGCATTTTCATTCAGAGTGTGAACCTTCAAGATGCTTCTTAGGGTGTGTGACTTCAGGGTTCAAAGAATAACTCTTTAGGCATTTAGGGAGAAAAGTAAAATCACATTAAAGAAAAACAATCATATTGGATTTAGAATCATGACAACATCCAACAAGAAAGGCTATCAGACAACGTGACAAGATCCAGCCTTCTCGCGGACAGAAGGAAGAGTGGCCCAAGGCCACATACTTCTGAGCATGCTCCTCAGGTACAATCTTCAAACAAAGCAATGGTGGAAATGGAACGCCTTCAAGAGGGTGCTAGGATGTAGGTTCTACCCAAAGGAGGGATAAGTCAAAACAAATAACGCTAAGAGGCCTGGGTCTGATCCTTAAATCTGTGTAAAGATAGCTACAATACTCTAAGAATAATGATTACTGAACAGAATGTGAATATTCTAGAAATGGACAATGCAAATATAACAATATAAGTGACTCAAGGAGAGATGGCTAAGTGGTTAAGACCACTTGTTGCTCTGGCATAGAACCCACATGGTGGCTGACAAACTCTGTAACTCCAGTTCCAGGGGATTCAATGCCCTCTCTGGCATCAATGAACACTGCATGCAGTGGCACATTGCCTTTAATCTTGGCTCTCAGGTGGCAGAGGCAGGTGGATCTCTGTGAGACCGAGGCCAGGCTGCTCTAGTGACTTCCAAGCCACCTGGGACTAGAGGAAGATTCTGTCTAAATCAAAACAAACAAACAAAGACTTATAAAAAATAAAATGACTCACGCTTTTAATGTTTTTTCACAACAAATATTTTCATTTTAGAGAAATTCTTTTTTTCTCTCTTTTTTTGAGACAGGGTTTCCCTGTAGCCCTAGCTGGCCTGGAACTCGCTATGTATACTAGGCTGGCCTCAAACTCACAGAGATCCACCTGCATCTGCCTTAGAGAAATTCTTTAAAAAATAGTATCTCCTCTAGAAGATGATGTTTGGCCACCTCTTTAAGACATGTTCAGTATGTTCTGGTTACTGTGAAAATATTTTCTAGCAATATATGGGAAGAAAGGAAGTACAACAAATCAGCATGTCCATCCTGAGGAAAAAAGATGCACTCTTTAGAAACTTTAAAAAGTACTTATTTCACATCTCTACATTAGAATCCACCAATTCTTAATTCAACCTACTGACATATATATGGTAGAAAGAAATTTAGAATGATGTTAATCTAATTTAATATTAGTCATTCCTGGATGCTGGATTTAGTTATATGAAAAATTAAACGTTTGTACCAAAATTTTCATCAGCCACATGCCATTTTAGTAACAAAATAGTCTATTATCCTGGAGGGGACGGGGAGCCTGTTTAGTCCATCCGTTTATGCTTTAGAGCGGGAGAAACTGTGACACAGGGCGAAGGGCTGCTGGGAACGGCATCAGGTAGCAGTGAAAGGATGGCAGACACAGGAGAGCAGGGATAGGCGCTGGTTAAGACCTGAACTGCCAGTCACCCCTGGGGGAACACCTACAGAACACAGCTGCTAAGACCCCGCCTTCCACAGTCCACTTCCTCTCTCCTGATCCTTCTGTTCTCACAATGCCAGTTCCCCCTGGGTTTAACCACTGTCCTGGAGACTGCTTTCTCATCTCAGCTTTGCTCCAGCAGAGCACTTGGTTTTGTTGCTCTTTTTAACACAGGAGCATGTGAATACGACAATGCCCACACTGGTTTCACCCCGGGTGGCTATGGTAGCATGTCACAGAAGCTCTATTTAGACTGAAGTCTCCAAAGCTAAACAGCACTGGACATGGTCATTTACCAAAGCATGTGGCATTCTCCAGGCTCCTAATCCAAAAGAGGAAGTGAGGCCCTGCTTCCTGAGGTCACTAACTTTTCACAACCCTTGGACACACTTGTTACTGCCCATCTCCCTGGGCACCCCATCAAACTCCCCATGACTCCTGTTCTCTGGGGCTTCCCAGTTGATGCTTCCTGAGGAGGGAGGAGCTAGGGGCCCTATACGTGATGTTGCCTAAAATCCCAGTCACCCCAACAGCAGATTCCTTGTCCAAGATTTCTTCCTTCTCCAGTCAGGAAATGGAGTCTCTCATTCTTTCAGTTCAAAAGCTCACATCTGCCTGGACAACTGCACACACAGTATTTCCAGCAAGTGGTTTCTATTTTATTTTCAAATAGAATCGCTTTCCCCTATTCTTCCCAACCGCCAATCCATGGCAAATCTCCACTCAGTCAAAAGGTCAAACTGTAGCCCTGTCTGTAATTGTATGAGGAAGGTGGGTGCCCAAGAACTCGATCTGTCTTTCTCCATTCCTGTAGGTGCCCCCTAGTGGGGGCGGGAGGGGGTTTCACCAATTTCTCGTTCCAGGCTCTCTTTAGCATAGTTTTCCATGGGCTGCTCTTACCAGTGTCCTTGAAAACGATCATATCAGAACCTGAAGTCCATTATTTTCCAGGCTTCACCCTTAGAAAACCCATGATTTCCTTCACCAACCCCATGCTGGCCTCCATTCTGCCTTCACCAAACCTCCCTCTTCTCGATTGCTGCCGATACTCCCATAATCCCCCCTTTCCAATTAACTGTGTTCCATGCTGCCTCTCTTTTCGAAGCTGGTGCTCCTACTGAAAAAACCTCTGCCTTTTCTGTATTTCTGAATAACACATTTGCTCAGCTTGGCATTTGAAGGCCATTTGTCCTATGACCAGAACTTTCTGGGACAACTTGCTTCCCAGGGGTAGTTGCACTAAGCTGGGTACATCCTTCCTCTTCTCACGTCCCACTTGTCCTGTTCCAGACCCCACTACCAGCACAGCCCTTCCTCATATGCCAGGCCCTCCTTGCTCCACCCAAGTCTGTGTGATGCAGTGCTGAAATCTTGTTCCTTTCTCAAGGTTCATCTCAGCTTCATGAACGAGTTACTCGAGTCTCTTTCCTGAATGTTACTTTGCCTGTCCTTCACATTGAGGGCTTCTAAAAGTTTGCACGTCCTTGAGGTGGTTTCATGCTCACTATTACTCTATGAGACACATAAAAGATGGAACTAAGGCTTGGGGACGCTGACTCTTCTTTCCCAGGTCACAGAGTTAATGAATGGCTCTGTGCTAACCTCAGGCTGGTCTCCGAGGCTAGTGAGTTCCACTCAGGCACCTCCTTCAACTTCTTCCTTGTCCTTCCGGAGTCTGCCTGGAGCACAGGCATGGAGCATTTGCTTATGATCTATAGTAGGCATCAGTGGCTGGAGGAGTACGGGGCTCAGTCTGCACTGCTCCTCAAATAGCAAGTCTAGCTGTGTTGCTCCATCACTGGCTCTGCTGAAGGCTTAGTCTCTGTTCAGTTCCCACATTAGCCCTTATTGTTCTTCATGAGGAGAGTGATATAAGCTCAGAGACGAAAGCAGGTGTGAGGGTGTCCTGCCATGAGGGGGCCCCTGGCTCTCAATCTTAAGACTGATTGATCTGATCACCCATAGAGGAACACTGACATCATACCAAGGGCCCCAGCTGCTACAAAACCACATCTAAGAAATTCCTCATGAAAGTTTGTCAATTTAAAGAAAATTTTTCAAAAAAAATCTAAAATATTTAAGAAATATTAAGTTTACCACTTTTTTCAAAAAGTGAATTTTTTTCCCTTGCCTCCACCTTCAAATAATTTCCATTTGAGTCTAAAATACCCACATAGTTGTATGTTAAGAGACAGCAAACATTTAACTCTTACCAAGAAATTTCTGAGGCATAGAGCTCTTACGTTTGGCGACGTTGCTTGCTAGTCTGTCCAGAACAAGGGATCTCTCTGGTCCTATCTTGCACAGATCTTCCGCCATCTCACTGTGATTAGTTTCTTCCTTAATAACTAAAGTCAAAGAAGTTAGAGAGGCCAGTTTAGAAATGCTTGCAGTTCAAGATTCTGCGGCATCCAGTGCTTCACATGACATTTCTGAAATGCCCAAAGTCGGGCCCTTCCTTGGACTACTTCTCAGCCTCCCAGCACTCCGACAGACACCAGATTTAACACCAATGACCAGCCACCTGCTAAAGCTCCTTTCTCCACATGCTCAACCCACATCATCCCTAAGACGAAAAGAACAAGCATCACCTCTACCATCTGAGGCTGCACCGAGCTTAACTGTATTGCTTTGGAGGGTCCTTTCCCAAGACCACCTTCATCAACTCTAAAAACAACTATGAGAACCAAACACTGTCAGATCTAGAAAAGACTCAAGGGTTTGACTTCATCATTACACAGGGAACAGAAGTGCAGGGATGTGGCCTAAATGTAGGGTCCTATAGCAGGTTTTGGCCCCATACCTGACCACACAGCAATTTCCTCATCACCATACAGCATCTGCATAGGGTAGGAAGCTTAGCGGTCATGCAGGGAAATGCAGATATATGCGTTAATTTAGTCCCTCTCTGTTTTTCCATGCTAGCTCTCCTTGTCCATACCAGAAGATAGAATGTTGTCTTTTGCATAGTCTCATCTATTCTGACTTCCAGTTTTAGTTGGGGATTGTGTGTGTATGTGTGTGTGTGTGTGTGTGTGTGTGTGTGTGTGTGTGTGTGTGTGTGTGTGTGTAGGGGGTCAGGAAGTTTTGAACTGTAACTCCTTCATTTCCATGAAATGTATGCTAATGTTCAAGGAGCTGAAAAATGTAAATTAATCATCTTCTACAATTCCTTTTCTTTTCTACAAAATTATGTATCTTTGTATGTACATGTGAGTACAGGTGCCCATGGATGCCAGGGGCATTGATCTCCTGGAGCTGGAGTTACAGGTGTTGTGAGCTCCTGATGTGGGTTCTGGGAACTGAACTCAGCTCCTCCGGGACAGCAGCAAGCACTCTTAAACATGGAGCCACCTCTCCAGCCCCATCTTCTACATTTCGAATTAGTTCTTTCAACAGTTTCTGCCTTGTTTTTTTCCTTCCCAGACAGTTCATGTTTGTTTATCACAAGGTATTTAGTAGGTTTACCCAGTGCTGTTATTGACTTAGCTCTGTGTTCTTCAAAGAGTTCCATGAGTCATAGCTATATTTTCATGTCAAGCTGGTCTTCCCAATTTTCCCATTTCTTCAGATGTATTTTATTATAAATGGTTACAAAATGCCAACAAGATTTATAAAACAATTCAGTGTTAAAACCATGCCTTGATTTGGGAGGACACACATGGATTATATCCAGCCCTTTCTCCCTCTTCCATCTCCTAGGTTTCCTCCTTGCCCAGACTGACAAGCTATCGTTGCACTTTGCATATGACAAAATCCCCAAGTATCTGCTATCTTCACTGCTATTATAACTGCCACTTTAAACGCCCATATTTCTAGTTGGATACTATTGCTGGCATATTTTTTAACAGTGGACATGAGTAAGTGCTTCTTGCTAAATAGCTCAACATACAGCCCATATCCCTGAGTGATAAGAGGAAGTAGACAAACTAATAAAACCCAAATTCTAGTAGGCCTCACACATGCATGTGATCAATCAAGATAATATGCTCACTTACATGTCCTTCCTCCTATGTGAAGTAGGCTCAGTCACTGGCCCAGGTGCCCCCATCTCAAATGGGATCTCCACCCCACCATACCGTAGGACTGCCTGCAGTCTCCCCTACCCCTACTTGGGCTGTTCTACAGCAAGTTAAGCCCAGTGCCTTTCCCTTGCCATCTGTGCATGGGAGGCTCTTTTCCCAAGAGAGACATCAGCAAAGTATAAAAGGTGACCACAACCCTTTTACTAAAAAGAATTATATTCAGAAAACCAAACATTTTCTCACACCTTCTAAGCGACGCAGGTTTTGCTGAATGGAACCTAAGCAGGTCTGGGGAGTGAAGAGGTGGCCTGACTGTCTAAACACTGATGAGGACAGACCTTTGAAGGGCACAGAGGGACAGGTAAGGGAGATGCATAAGAATGCAAGGTTTATTCAGCCCTGCACATCAGAGCAGACCTAGCCAAGACCCCGTCTCCTGTCTACCCTCCCAGCCCAGCAAGTTTGGATCTGGAATATTCCCCACAGGCCTGTTCCCAGGGTGATACAAGTTAGAGGTGGTAGAACTTTTGAGGGGTAGTCTTGATGGAGGTTCTGTAAGTAGTTCAGGATATGTATGCTTTCAAAGAAGGGTGTGGAAGCCCAGCCTCTTCTTTTTTTCTCTTTGTCCCTAGTCTGTGATGTGAAGGCTTTTACCACACCCATACTCCCATCATGACATGCTATTTTACCTTCATGCCCAAAGCAATGCAACCAACCAAGCATGGACTGAAACCTCCAAAACTTTACATCCAAATTGCCCTTTCTTTTTATAAACTGGGATCTCAGGCACTCTTTACAGTGATATAAAGCTGATTAGTACACTGGTTTGGTGTTTACAATCATGTTGTATATTCTGATGCAATGTGAGGCAGGAGGAACCCAATATAATGAAATGCCAGTGTGCCAGGCTGTCTGTGGCCACACTGGGGTCAGATGACTGCTCTTTGCTAGAGTAATTTCTCACCTCTTAAATAGGGTACATGGGACCACCACTGCAGTATTCTAAATCACAAGACCACTAGTGGGGACAAATCGGAATTTTAGGGTGAAACTGATTCTCACTGCAAGGCAGAATCTAAAACACATCCCAGTACTCCTTCAACAGTTTCAAAACAGATAACTGTTTCCAACAACAGATGACTGTTTCTACCCTCACCTTCCCAGGTATGGATACTCAACTCTTAGTCTAAACCATGTTTGAAGTCACAGCCTGACTATTCTTTGATTACCCTCAGGAAAAACTAGCTTTTTTAAAAACACAGACATTGTATTTGGATTATTGAACACAAAGAGCAATCACTACTCTACCTTGTTTTATCTTTCCTTTTAAACATTTTTGTGGTGCTGGGGCTCAAACCCATGACCTCTTGCACACCAGGCAGGCTGTTTATCTCTCAGCGTGAGCTGAAACTCATTCCTCTAGGCTTAAAAAAAAATCAACCTTCCCCCCAGAAACATCCACGATATCCCATAACAGAGTCTTTTAAGGGTCACCACTATCAATGGAGGGCTTAAGGCAAGCTCTGCTGGTCAGATAAGAACTTGCAAAGTGGAAAACACGAGTCATTCCTAGTGTAGGTGCACTGCTACTGGCCAGAACATTCCTTATGCACTGTGTGGTGGGAAGCATGCCACAGAGTGGACACCCTCCTTCCCCAGGCACTGGGCGGGAGAGGGGTCCAACTCGGCAGGGAGCCTCAGCGCTTACCTGGGTACAGCGTGCCTGGAAGGCCCATGCTTTCCAAGTAGTTGTGGCAGCGCTCTTTATGTTCCTCTAAAGAGCTTCGCTGTTTATAGCTTCGGCCACAATATCCACATTTGTGAGGCTTACCAACTGCAGAAAACACAATTGAGTTTAAGACCCCAATTAAATATTGGCCTTCTGTGCAATGGGAATGCATGCAATACAATTATAACCGAAAAAAGTAGAAAAATAAAAATGTGCTCTTGAGGGCTATGAGTATTAGAGACTTGGTCAAATTGACAAGTTTTAAAATGCTAATGCCCAGATGAGTCATTGAAGGTACCAAGAAATCACTTTTGTTTCATCTTAATCTATAGTGCTGATTATGAAACTTGTTTTTAAGCCACTGCAGTTAGTCCTTAAGTGGGGAAATACAAACTATTTTAATGTTTTAATGTGGACAGAAACACAAGGAAGACTCAAGAATCTACACATAGTCACTTCCAGGGTGGGCCTCCCATCAGGTTGGGGCTACATCTAATGTAATTGGGGTGAGCTCAGTTCAGGAGGCCAAGCTGAGAAATTAAAGGTCTTAGAAGAAACCATGCTGGTAAAATGTTTTAATGAAATGGACACTTTATATCTCAATTGTATCTCCTTACAGAATACAAATGTCTGGGGCTGAAGAGATGGCTCAGTGGTTAAGAGCACTAGCTGCTCTTGCAAAGGACACCGGGTTTGTTCCCAGCATCCACAGGGCACCTAACAACTACCCATAATTCCAGTTCCAGGGGATTGATGTCCTCTTCTGGCCTCTATGGTCATTACATGCACAAGTGCACTTAAATACATGCAGGCATTTAAATACATACTCATATACATAAAATGAATATAAATAAAAAATTTAATGTATTTTACATTTATAATATATAATATTTTTAAAAATAATATGAGAATACAAAATAATCTGGATAGTCATAGGCATGGAAAATACAGAAAGTATTTTGCATAAACTGAGCTTATGGAAATCTTCTATTTTATCCCTGAAGAACATTAGGATGATGTAACTTCTAGATCAGTTTTGTTATTGGAATTCACTATGATGATGGAAATATTCTTTAAATGTCTGTTCAGTGGGGCATCCACTGTCTTGTTCAGCATGGTAGCCACAGATATGTGGGGCTACTGAACATTCCAAGTATGGCTGGTGCCACAGAGGACTAAAGTTTTAATTTTAACTCACTAAAACTTAAGTACCACATATGAGTAGTGGCCACTGTGTGGAGCAATGTTGTTTTCTATGAGTTTAACTCTTCCTGATTTTACTGAGTGGTATTTTAAGAAAAGAACACTAGCAAAGAATCTATATAATGCCTATGTTTAAAGTCATTAGTGAACATAATTTTAAGAGAAAATTTAATTGCTTATATGAGGAATATAAATTTGCACATCAATATCAGTATTGTATTTCTCAGGCAGTTTGGTTTAACATATTTCAAAGTATGATTCGAAGCCATTCAAATGGGAATGTTTGGTAACTGGTTTAAAGTCTATGCTAATTAAACCTCTTCCTAGGTGATCAGGTACTATGAAGAGGTTCATGTGGAATCCAAAGCTTTTACTTTTGCAATAATTACTAGAATAATATCTAGAGACAGTGATGTACCCCAAACACAGGAAATAATGATGAACTGTTGCCTAAAATTGCATCTTTTACTGAGTACTGTCATATAAATTAATAGAATATGGACAACTTTTCTATGTCCTTTCCTGGAACTTGTATAACTTTGGTGAATTTCACCATCAAAGTTGCCTCCTGTATAAATGGCACGATATCTGAACAAGTACTTTTCTCAGTATATGATTGATTTTAACTCTAAAACTTAAGAATTGTGTTTACTGCAATCAAAGCACTAAACTACATTTTGCTGTGGGAAAGAAAGTTTCTAACAAAGCTTACAACTCCCAAAGAATCAGGGAGAAAGGAAGGCCCATTCTACCTGCTACCAGTCACTAAGCTCCTCTCCATAAACCATGGGACACCTTCCCCTAATGTGCTGGAGTCCACAACCTCCACCACCACTAGATGTTAGGGAAAGTAATAGGGTTGATCCTAGTTTTCAATAGAATATGGGCATGGCCATCCGCAAGGGAAGAGAATGTGCTACCCCAGAGTTTGCAGACAAAGGCTGAAGTCTTCTTGCCATCCTAATGAGATTACTCTGAACCAATTAAAACATTGTTTCTTTTCTCCAGGAGCTGTGTATGTCAAGGGTTTTTTTTTCAGATAGCGGTGTCAGCAGCACCCCAGGTCTACAATAGATTTCCCTACAGCTCATGGGTGAATTCACAAGAGAAATACTGTCCAGAGTCTACCACCTGTTTTTATATATAACTACTAGCCATACTGAAAGGTTACCAACATACCTCAAATGTAATGAGCAGGCATAGAGACAAAGAACATTAAACCCTGCATCACTTCACAGGAAAGAAAAGGAGCAATGCCAGCTTTCATTTTAAAGGTGGACATACAGGAGAGATTTGTACTATAAATCAGTAATCTGAGAGTGATAATCTGTGGCTTGTGCCAATCTAAGAGTGGCTCTTCACATCTGCCCCTGGCTTGGGAACCTGCGTTTTTCGTTAGTCCTAGCACACTGTGGCTGTCACTATGTGACTCTTCATAAATGTCAGATGTGCAGCACTTTTCCCTGCTAGCACAGCATGGACTGCACGCTTCTCACAGCTGAAGACTACATGTGTAAGTCACCTCCTCCCTGGCATCACCACCTTTACCTGGTAGAACACATGCTCATCACAAATATATGCAAACAGTGTTAGGAGCCTTCAGTTCTTCCTGTGTCCCTGCAGCAAATCCCTCCAGGGAACTAGGTCTGAGCTAGTGTCCCACCTAAGAATGGGAGGTGGTAGGCCACTGCTACAGCCTACTGCCCTGCCTGCTGCATGAGGGGCAGGCCTGAGACTGAGGACGGCTTCTTTTTGTTAAGCTCACCCAAATCACAGTTTTCTGTGTATGAGCTTTGAGGAGTCTCCTGCAGTTCATGGTCAGGAGGACAGGCTTGAGAAGTGACTCAGGACCTTGGCTCTTCTCCCCTTTTTATGGCTGTCTGGGTGAATGCCCTTCTGAAGGGGGTCACTTACCAGAAAACCCAGGCACTGACCAATAGCCAACAGCTATTAAAAGGTGTACCCCTGTAGAATCTCGCTCTTATTCATTTAGAAATCCCCTAAACCAAACTCAAGATGGGTCTGAACACATGCTCTAGTCCTCTTCCTATTCCAATCCTCCCCCCCGCCCCGGGACAGACTGCTTCCATGGAACCTTTAGCACTGTCTTGTCATGCATATGTAGAATGCTGGTGAGGGGTTCAGGAAATGTGGGTCAAAGAGAGGAACAACCTACACCATCAGATACACTCATCATGTTTGACAGATGTTGACAGTGAGAGGGAGCTGGGCTGAGATCTTCCTGTACACCATCTGCATGGAGGGTGCAGCTGCTGCTTGGAGAAGCCACTGAGCAATGACAGAATGATGGCTGGCTATGACAGGGCATTCCTTGAGGGCAGAGAAAAGACCCACCAACCTTGTGCACCCAAAGCCGTTTATAGCACATGATACCACACAACAGGACAGGGTGCATGTCACATCAGATAGACTACACTGCAGGCAAGCATCACGTACTAGACAAGATCCCCTTTCTCAGACCTGGAGGCTTGTGGGGAGACTTAATAGAAAGCCACCCACGAGGCAGAAGATGTGATCTAACTGAAGACTAATCTGTTGGGAGCATTTTGACAACTGTTGGGCATTCATGAGGATTGTGTTCTAAGACTCCAGATCATTTGGGATATCCTGCTGTCTACAGTTCTGACAGTCCCAGAACTGGCCTATCCTACCAAAGCCTCCAACTGTTTCTGGAACAGGAGTTATTCTCTGGCTGGGATGCTGTGCCTGGGGCTGGCAGGATTATAGTTTGAACTACCTCTCTGTGTCCTACTACTGCTATTAAATATGTCCTACATAAGCCAGTGATAAATGTGGCGTAGCACTGAACACTAAAAAACGTGTTTGGAAACTTAGGGGCATGAGGAGTGCACCTGCAGAAAAACCTCGAGGAAATCCCCACTTACCTGACACGGTGGGAGGAGGCCTTTTCTGAAATACATCATCAAGGTGGGACTTTCTCATGTACGTACCCCCCCCCCATTTTCTGTGCTTCAATAGGAAAAGTGGATCAACACACAGGAGGCCAGCACCCCCAGAAGGCTGTGACCTGGGCAGGGCGGGAGGAAATTGACAAGGACACAAGGAACACAGAGCACATGACCTGGGGCCCCCACATTGCAATGGCTGGGGCCTGCTTCCCTGCCATGCCAAGGGACCTACCAGAGTGTGTCCTCAGGTGGCCAGTGAGGGCATCCCTCCGGCGGCAGGCATAGTTGCAGAGGTGGCACTTGAAGGGCTTCTCACCCGAGTGCAGCTTGATGTGGCGCAGCAGGTTGCCCTTCTGGGTGAAGGAGGCCCCGCACTGGTTGCACTGGAAAGGCCGTTCACCTGGGCAAGGGCAGAGGAAAGTCTGGTAAGAACAGAGCAAGGGAGGACGGCCTCGAAAAAGTTGTTTCCCATAGGCTTGGTGACTTCCACCGGCTGCAGGTTTGATAGAACATGAGGCTTTCAGACTAAACCTGCCAGCTCCTTAACGCTTCACTGGCTGGGTCAATTTGATCTGAAAATCTAATTTTTTTTCCCTAAATCAGAATGGCACATCACAATGCAAATTCAAACTCATTTAAATAAAGTGACTGCAACATTTTGTGATGAAGAGCCACTCTTCCTGATCAGCAGTTTTGGAATAAACCAATATCCAATTTTGCGTGTTGTGGCATTTGGTGGGGTTTTTAATGTGGCTTTTTTCAAAGGGTCTTTAAAATATGCCACTGAAGCAGCAAAATAAAAAGGAAACTCATTAAAAATGCATTTCAGGATCACAAGTTCATTTCAGCGTTACATTCTTATATTTAAATGAAAGGCACTTCATTATAACAGTTATAATAACTTCTTTTCATTTACATTTTCCCTGTATTTTCCCTTTCAATTTCTTCTCCATTACCTGTCTGTCCCTAAGCAGGCAAATCAGGAGAGAGACAGACAGAGAAAGTGTGAGGGTGAAAGGGAGAGAGGGAGAGAGGGAGGGAGAGGGAGAGGGAGGGAGGGAGAGAGAGAGAGAGAGAGAGAGAGAGAGAGAGAGAGAGAGAGAGAGAGATTGGAGAAAGATTGAATAAAATGAGAACTTAAAAACAAGGGCAGCGAGGGCCTGTCTTCCACAGGAAAGTCCCCAGTCTCCCTGCACTTCGAACAAGAGAGAGAGAGAGAGAGAGAGAGAGAGAGAGAGAGAGAGAGAGAGAGAGAGAGAGAGAGAGAGAGAGAGAGAGAGAGAGAGAGAGAGATTGGAGAAAGATTGAATAAAATGAGAACTTAAGAACAAGGGCAGCGAGGGCCTGTCTTCCACAGGAAAGTCCCCAGTCTCCCTGCACTTCGAACAGTCAGAGCTGTGTTGAGACTTCTTGCCTTTTCTATTTGTCACAACTCTGAAACCCTTCAAGCTCTTATTTGTCTATATTCATGAAGTTCCATTTCAAGTTTCTATTTAGCTGTCACTGAAGGACTTTTCTTGGATTTGTGACTGAAAAAACCTGGGGCCTGTGCAGTGTGGGACAGAGCTCCTGTGTGCACCCTGGGTCTAGAGAAGGTGTGCAGAGTGAGATGTGGATAAAAAATATGCTATTGTCCTGCTGGTGGTCATAGGTCTTAGCACCTGACTCAGCCAACATTTTCTTTAACTCTCACTGAGCATGATGTGCTTGCTATACTAAGTGAATACAAAAGCTCTAAGAACAAACGTTTCATTTAAGACCATTATGTGTGAAAATATATGTGTTGAGAACATTTTTTAAAGAATGTTAAGATAGCTATCTATTTTCCAAATTGACCAATGGTGGTGAAGAGGATATTTATTAAGCAAGAGCTTATGTGGCTAAAATCCACACCGGGTTAAACTTTAATGTCTATACTGGTACTTTAATATCCTGATTATCTTCATGTCTTTTTCAGCAGGTAGGGCAGATGTAAAAGTTGAAACTAACTTATAATGATATTTAATGACTTGTAGACCAGTTGGAGTGGTCTTGATACTATACTAACCAGTATGGATTCAGTGCGTTCTTAAATTTCTGTCTGCGTTGGACTCAGCTTAGCAGACACTATTTAAAGTCAAAGAGGTTGGAAAGTATGGACAAAAGCGACACTAACGATCACCAACCTTCTGAGTTCCGAGTGCACACGCAGCTGACACTGTACAAGGAGACCCAGCGGGGGAACTTGGAATGTGCCTTCTTTCGTAGCTCTCATCTGGACAGGGTGGACCCTCAGGCAGGGGGGAAAGACAGCTGGGAAAGCCCCTGTCACCAAGACAGTTCAGGCGACACTGTTGGTGACCCAAGTGGGTCTGTGGAAACTAGTTAGTGCAGTCATGTGCCTAGCAGCTGAACGACCCCTTTTTGAGCTGGGGTGTGCTCAAGGGCTGTGTCCCCCTGGTCTGATTTGGTGGAGGGAGAACACAAGGTAGAGCCAACATCCTGGTTATTGGGAGGTAGATAAGCCTGATGACTATAGGCACATTGCCATTCTATGGGACAGGAAGGTGGGTATCCCTTGGAGACTGAGATGGGTCTTCTCATTTGAGTCCTTCACGGGTACTGCTTGTCTGGTATCTATTTAAAATTTTTTAAAAATGTATTTTTATGTATATGAATGTTTTGTCTGCATGTATGTAAGTGTGCCCATGTGTGCAATGCCTGTGGAGGCCAGAAGACTGTATCAGAACTGGAACTGGAGTTAGGGATGATTGTTAGCTGCCATGTGGGTGCTGGGAATCAAACCAGGGTCCTCTGCAAGTGCAACCAGTGCTTTTAACTACAAAGTCATCTCTCCAGCCCCTTGTCTGGTGTCTTAATCCCTGCCATGAAACAAGGCAATTCAGGCTTCTCTGAAAATCTATTTATTGATTCCAATTGTTTGTGTAGCCATGAACGTGTCACCCATGGTGTAGGCCTTAAAAACAGCCATGCTCCAAAGGGACAATGCTCAGTGCTCTAAAACTGCATGGAGGCATTACTTGTAAAGGATGTATGTGAAGAGCTGGGCCACAGGACAAGCCCATGTTCCATGTTTCTGTTGCTAGTGGCCTGGTTCTTGAAAGTCCAGTTTGTTACTGTAGTTAAATTCAAGTTCTCTAATCCTGTATGTACTTTTAACTCGGATAAGGAGTTACAGATACAGCAAATTCCAAATTTAGTTTTTAATCTCAATGACTCAACTAGGATGTTTGAATGTTTGAGACCCTTTTTGGAAACTTCATTGGGTAATCTAGAATGTTTTCCTGGTTGTCCCACTGGCAGAACTATCTGCAGAAGGTGGATTAAAAATATTTGACTCGCAAAAATGAAAGTGTGGCCACAGCGTTTTGTGGCAGGTGCTGGGTTCTGGGCTGCGGGATGCAGGGTGTCTTGGTCTTTAGAATAATAATGCCACTGGCAGGCTCCCTCTGTGCTTCCTTCATCTTTCCTACCACTGTGGGTCTGATTCTCACCCTCACCCAGAGATGCTGGGGAGGGACAGTGAGGCTGTGACATCCGAATCAAACATGAAACCCAACAGCCAGAGTGGAAGTGATACACTGGTACTGACAAACCATTTAAGAAATGGCAGCAGTGGAATTTCACCCAATGAGATGGGCAGAGGCATGGCCCCACCCTGGCAGATGCCTCAGAGATTCCCCCAGTTTACTGAGGGAGGGGCAGGGCAGTCCTGAGCTTGCCTGACTGTGTCATGGGCTTGGGGAGGAAATGAGGTGCTAGTGCATGTGCTAACTTCTCCACTGGGGCATCACATCCTACCTAAGTGCCTGAGAGGTCACCCAGATGACCCTGCTTATAACCTTCTCCTCAAAAGCATGTCTCCAGAGGTTTATCAGCCTTCAGGCTCCATCTCTAGTGTCCTCAGAGACATCTTAGAAATGTCTGTGCTCTAGACTCTCCCAGGGTCTGAATCAGAACCTTCATTTTCTCAAGATCCCAAGTGACTCACAGCCCCTTTCAAGCTCGGGAAGCATTGCTGCATACCTGCTAAATGCAGGGAACACAGGTCCCTGCCTTTGCTGACACATTCCACCCAGACCTAGAAGACAAAACTGTTCGGGCATGTTTAGACTATTCAAACCTAGTTGGCTAAATGGGGTTTCTGTTTTACCTGTGGCTTTCTGTATTCATGCGCAAAAAGATCTACTGTGGGGATAGCCACGAGTGCACTATTTAAGGTTCTCTTCCTGCTGTGGACTAGGCAGGACTGATATAGTTGATGGTATGCCCCTCTTTCCCGAAGTGATCTGTTCCATAACTGAAAAACTCAGCATATTGGGGTAGGTGTGGTATGTAGTCACTATTGGTGGGGAGAGGTATGTGGCCAACAGCAGGTAGCCTTTGTATGTCTGTGCCTGTGTATTTATTAAATGTAATTGTTCTTTTTTTAAAAATCAAGGCAGACAGTCATTATATTTTGACAATTTAGTATGTGATAATTTGATTCACTTATCAAATATTTATATAAGAAAATTTTCACTGCACAGTCAGGCCTTACATGAATTAGCAGGAAAGCAATTCTCTGGTGAGGTTTGTTCATCAGGAATGTTATTACTGCAGGTGCTAGAGTCTCCTGGTGAGTATCTATCAGAGTAGCTACTCCATGTTATTTCTAACTCGTTATAGACAGTGAGAGTGAGATTACAATCACATTTGCCTTGCTCAGGGTTGGAATGTGATGGGTCTATCTCAGTAGTAATTGAAGATTAAGGGGCTAATTCACAAAAGTCAAATTTGCCCAGTTTTAGAAGCTAAACTTTTGTTGAAGGTGAATGTCTATTAAAAGTCAATTTCTATATGGCTTTCATATACATTGTAAGTGGAATGTGTCATTTTAGAAACTGCTTTCATTCCTATAAAATGACTATCTTAGAAATACCTACAGTTCTTGATAACAGTTTTTCTGCTCAATGCATTTTCTAGCTACTGCTTGATTTTTGACAAACACACACTTGTTGGGCTCCAGGTAAGACATACAAGGCTGTTATTTTCAGTCATCTTCCTCCCCTTTCAGAGAGCTATAAAATATATCACCTGTTTGTCATTGTTTTTTCTTCTTCCCTTGGACACTACAGTAGAAGATGCTAAGTTTTATGATGCTCCAGAGAAGCCAGCCTGTAGGCAGTGAGGGCTCAGGGTGTCTGTTTTACATGGGAGCTCTCCATGACTACCAGAGGTGGTGAACGCATCATGGTTTACTGACCTTTCAGGCACTTCCTACGAAAGGAAGGAGAACGTTTCAAAAGAAACCTTATGCATGCAGTTAAATGCAGTGAATGCTTTTAATATTTTATTGCTAAGCCTCTTTAGGGCCCTTAGTGATGTGGTGTGATGGTTCTGTTGAACAACTAGCTGACTGTTCAATCAACAGGATTGTTTATGAGAGAGGTGGAGCTGGGGTAACTCAGCCAACTGAGGCTCTGCCAGGCTTCCCACAGCCCCAGTGGCAGGGGTGGGCACAGCTCTTGAACACTAGATGGCCTACATTTTACTCACTTTTTACCAGAGAATTCACACTCTTATTCTCCCCAAACCTCCAGGAAACCTTCTAATGCAACAGGAGTTTGGCATAAAGTTCCTCAGCGATTTGAGAGGAAAACTGGTGGCATGACTGCAATCCGGTCCAGAGAGCCACCTTGAGCCACCTGAAACCAACCTGTACTCTTTCTGAAAAGCGTTTTGCTGCTGGGCCACCATTCACTAAACAGGGAGCTCTGTGAGCTCCAATGAGATGAAAACACACATATTTTATTCAGTTTCTCCATGAAAAATCTGTGCAGTCACTTTTGGTGCATCTATCTATACTTTTGCTCTCGTGTTGTGAAGGGTGGACACAATACATAAAGGCTGACGTGGCAGCTGAGAATGTTTAGTGAGTAGGTTGGACTTTCAGGAGACTACACATATAAGCTGAAAACCTTCTCTTCCATTGGTAGGGCTAGCTAGGTACAGGCTGAGAAGTCCTTTCAAATCCTGCCCCAGAATGAGAATACTCTGTTTCAGCATAACTTGAGAGCCAGTGACTTGCAACCACTGCCCTGCTGGTCAATCTGAAACATACTTCAATACCACACTGCCCACCTCCCCAACCCCCTTTTTGCAGTACTGGGCATTGAACTTAGGCCTCAAATGTACAGCAGGTGCTCTACTACTAAGCTACATCCCCAGTTCTTGACTGTACGCTTTGCTCCTTAAGTACCCACAGGACCTCCTGAAACCTCCTGAGGCACTAAAAGAAAAAAAAAAACTATGCCAGGCCTTACCAGTATGGCTTCTTTTGTGAACCATGCAGTTCTTGACTGTACGCTTTGCTCTTTAAGTACCCCCAGGACCTCCTGAAACCCCTTGAGGCACTAAAAGAAAAAAAAAACTATGCCAGGCCTTACCAGTATGGCTTCTTTTGTGAACCATGAGCACATTGGGCCCGATGCAAATGATCCCACAGATATCACACTTTAGTTTTCCGTTAGGAAGTCGAATGCCTCCAACTCCTGATAAAGCCGAGCTGCCTTGGTCCCTGTGGGAGCCATTCATTTTCTCTCCCGAGGCATCAAGCATTCGTAAATCCTCCGCACATTCTTCCCCATTCATTTCACAGGCACGCCCATTCTCTTCATCACTCTGAGTCTCTACTTTAACATTACTGGCTGAAAGAGACAACACAGGAGGCCACTCAGTGTCATTGCAAAAAACATCACAGCAGAGCAACACAGCAGCAAAAAGTCATCAAACGGAGGCACAGAGATTCTGAACAGTTCTGAGCTTGTACCACGGGGCTGGCAGCCAGAGGGCTTGGGTGATACCTAGGGGATGTAGCAGAGGTACAGGGACAGAGGCAGGACCAAATAGAAAGCATCTAGTGCAAGAGGCCATTTATAGAGACCACACTTTGGGGCTATCCAGCAGGACCTCAGGAGGGGGTCCTATGTGCTCCTCACCACGTGAGCACTGGGCGGTAAGAAGTGACACGGTGACAGTCCTCCTCCCTTGGGCTTCTGGGCACCAGAAGAACCCCTAAGAAGAGGGTTGGGGGGCCTGAAAAAGCCCTCTTGTGCATATTCATAATGAATTTGGAACAAATCTTAGCACACTCATGTTCAGAGTTCTCATCCCAGGTCCTTCTATGATTTTCTTTTTTCCTGTAGCTTCTTTCTTATCTTATAGCCCTGCACCTCAATCCTGCGCCCTAGGGCACAGGCGTCCCTCTTGCCTCTCCTTCATTTGCTGAAGGATTAGCTGGAGCAGTTTACGAATGCAAACCAGATAGGAAAGAGTTTTCAAACAGAAAGATGCTTTCAGGTTAATGAAGACCAAAACAGCTACTGATCCTGCATTCCTATATAACTCCCATGTAATGTAATTTTATCATTTACTTGTTTTGTTTCCTAAAGAAAATAGGAGACATTACACATACATTCTCCTGATGAATCCCACATGTAATGGCCAGGAGAAGCCACAGGGATAACAGAAGCCATACCCTTCTCTTTTTTACAGACTCATAATAATAAAGAGGCACACTTCTATAAGAAAAATAAAAAAAGTGAGGTGGTTATTTGACATGATTTTAAAAAGACTGACTTATTATTTTATGTGTATGTGTGAGTGCCTGCATATATGCGTGTGTATCACATGCATGCCTGGTGCCTATGGAGGCCAGAAAAGATGTTAGATCCTCTGGTACCACCTGATGTTTGTGCTGGGAATTGAACCTGTGTTCTCTGTCAGAGCAACACACATTCTTAACCATGGATCCATCTCTCCAGTCCCCATTTGACATCATTTTTGATCAGCAATTTTAGTCAGGGATTTTCAAAATTTGGTCCCCAGAGAAGCAGTCTGGACATGACTCAGAACATGTCTGAAGTGTGGACTCCTCGGTCCCCGGGCTCTGCTGTGAGCTTAGCTGTATGTTTTCATGAAAGCTCAGGGGACCCTAGGGTACTTCATGCCAGAGAACATCTGACTTGTTCATGGTCTCATATATGATCTTATTCACCGAACTCCTCTTAACTGGGGCATCTGGGGTCCAGACACTGAGAATGGCTGGCTTGGATCACACCTTTTTAAATTTAAATCTTAGGCAAGTCACCTAATTTTAGTGCCTTGATTTTCTCATCCATAAAAATGGGAAACATGACAGCGTTGGCCACCAGGGCAGCTGGGAGGACTCAGTGGAGGAACAGATGGGACAGGGACTGGGACTGGGGCATAGCAAGGGGAAGTCCAATCCCACACAGTAGTTCTACAGTACAAGACTCTGCCTGATCCCAACAGTGTTTGGGGCACTTACCTTGTACCAGGGGCCTGGTACTTTAATGGCACGGTGCTATTTAACCCTCACAAGAACTCTGCAAGGGCAGTCAGTGCCATTACCATCATATTTTTTAATAGTTGGTGAGGCACACAACAGTTTAAGAACCTGCTAAGGTCACACATTGGCAAGTGTCAGAGCTGGGAAGCAATTGCAGGGTACCCGCCCCCAGTGCCCACTTCCCTGCCAACATTATCCTGTTAGCCTTTGAAAAAAAGATTTACTGACAAAATAAGGAAATGAGATGATCAAACCAGAATGTGGGCTCCAAGGCATGTAAAGTGAGGTTGTGCTTTGAGGCTGAACCTGGCACACAGGAATGCTGAGAAATTCTATGTAATTCCTCCCAGAGGTCAGACCGGATCCCACATGGTTAATACAGGAGATGAAGCAGACTCGGGGTTGGGGGGGGGTCTGCTGCTCACACAATGGTGCTTGATGACACTGAGTGGTATCCCTATTTTCAGATATTTTGGGGGATGGATGTAAACTTATCAATGTCTGCACCCACCTTGCTATGGTTTGGATCATTGTCTCCAAAGTCTCACACATTAATTACTTAGTCCCCAGGGTGGGGACCTCTAACGAGGCAGGGCCTAGTAGAAGGCCCTTACATCATTGGTGGTGTGTCCTCAGAAGGGATCGTGGGACTTCAGTCTCTTGGTCTCACTCTACTTTCTGGCTCTTGATATGTATGGTCTGCTGTGACACGTGTTCTCCAACATTGTTACTGGATGCTGTCTCTGACCCCATCCTGTTCGTGGTAGTCTAGGACCTCCAGAGTGAGAACTAAATACACGTTCTCTCTTTATAAATTACTTGCTTGGACATTTCACTGTAGTAATGAAAAGCTGACTAACAGAGTGCTCTACAGAAGACAGACTTGGGCTAGAGCACTTGTTCTGTCTAGCCATATAATGCCTTGTGCCATGCTATGACATAGCAAGAAAGTCCTTACCAGAGGTATATCCCAGGCTTTTGGACTTCAGAGTCTCCAGAATTATGAGCTAAATGAGCTTCTATTCTTTATACGTTACCTAGTCTCTGGAATTTTGTTATAGCAACAGATTAACAGAATAAGTCAAACTTCTTCTTGGAAGTATGATAAAGCGACAAAGATCTCAACCTCAGGCTATTTAAAACTGTCTATCTGTGTGTTTTTTCTAAGTGAGACTAGGGCAGTCAAGGGCTCAATGGAACAAATTACAGCTTATATGGCATGACATAAGTCATGACAGTAAAGACACAGGACGGCAGCAAAGTGTGTAGACCAGGAGCACATGTGGCTGGACAAAAGCTACCATGCGAAAGGACATGTATTGGGATAACCCTGGTAGTATGCTCCTGACTCAGAGGGATTTCATTAAGGTAGAGGGGGCAATTAAAGGGAACTGACTCTTCCTGAAGATACATTCATGCCTGGCGTAGAAGCACCTGCCAGATCTGACCATCCTTCTGCATCGATAAAAACAGCAAAGTACTTTTGCAACCCTGTGGGATCCCCTGTGACATGTCACTGATACCTATGTGGGGGATTTCTGGAGAAAGGCGGGGCAGCAAGGGCACATATGCCATGACCTCCCAGCTTCTATCAGGAGCAGAAGTTCTGCCCCAACAGGCTGCTTGCATAAGGAGGGAAAGTGAAGAGTCAGGAAGGAAGCGGATGGAGGAAGCGTGCAATGGATGTTGCTTTAAATGCCATGGACATCCTCAAAGGCACTTGGTGTTCCACCACTAGTGTGATGGAGCAACTGAAGGCAGGGCTTTGGCATTGTTATCCTATGAGATGGTGCTGCTACCAGCTATGTCAGGACCAAAGAAAAAAGGAGGCTCAGAGGGCATGAGAGCTGTTCGCAAGTTGTCCTGAGATCAGTGTGGACCCCAGATACAACTGGGGGGCAGACAACACAGATGGATGGATGTAAAGGATTTCAAACTTACTTCAAACATATACTGCAGTGCTAATATTTTCCAGTAGTATATATGGGGAGAGAAGGAGGGTCCATCACATAGTATGTAAAGAGTGATCAGCAATGGGAATTTTTAGCACCAGAAGAAGCAAAGCTCGAAGAAGAAAGTGAAAGACTGTGATGGCTTATGTTTCTGAGAAAGAGGAAACAGATACTATCTGCAGCTCCTTGTGGCCATGGCCAAGGACCATAAGTAGTGGAAACAAGACAGGGGGTTTCACGGCAGGTTTAACATACATTTTTGCATCAGAGTTTGATGGCCATTGCTGAATGTTCTCGAGTTGGAAACCTGGTAGTATGCTGAGGACATTCCAGCCATGTCATGAGCTGGGCTGTGACATCTAAGTGAGCATGAGTGACCAAGGACAAGGGGATTTGGTGAGAAGCAAGTAACGCTGTCAGCATGGGGACTTTAAGATGTGAGCAGCATCTGGGTTTTCCACACAAAGACGGGACAGGCCCTCATATCTGGGGATAAATGCAAACTGGGTGCTTCCTAGGTAAAAGATATTTGAAAGATTACTGTTCAGTCAAAGAGGCTGTCCATGAAAATGGGGGTCCTGTTCAGAACCACTTAGTTGTGGCATTCCTTCAATGAAATGTTATACTCTCTGAATATAAGGAATATACTTATAAATATTTGCAAACTTTATCTCTACTCCATTACTTAGAACAATGATGAACTCAGCAAGGTGCTGAACTGAACTGATAAAATATAGAACATGAAATGGAGTCTTGTGTCTTCCACAGATGGCTCTGGGTTCAGCCTGCCCCAAGCTCTTCCAGTGACTGACAATGAATGAGGCTTGATTTTATTACTTAAAATTTGACTTCTCTAACAGTAGATGTTTTCAAAGCCCTTGGTAAAAGTTACCTTCCTTCTCAGATGCTACTTAGAATTAGGAGAAATTAAAGCCTTATCACCATGTATTTTAGGGCCTTTCCACATGACTAGTAACCCGAGGGTTCTAAGACAAAGCCTGAGAGTGCAAAGGCCGTTAGCATCTAGATGAGTTTAGAATGGAAGAATCTGGAGAAGCCAAGGGACTCAGGCCAACAGGAGCCAGGAGGCCTGGCTTCACTGTCAAGCGTGATATGCACACATGAATAATTGAACAGTTTTAATGCAGAGGTATAATGCTCACTGGCAGCCCTTAGCTTACAGATGTTATATTTCCTCTTAATTCTCATTCCCTTTTCAGAATGTGTCTTCATATTTAGTGGAAAAATAGATTTTCAGTACTCAGAATGTGATTCTTTACCATTGAAAAAATATTCTAAAGTTGTTATCCAATATGAGTTTAGATCAAGTGACATGAACAGCTCAATATTTTAGATGGGAAATGGGAGGAAAAAAGTGGCTTTACAACATTAGTAACCAGTAAGTAAAAATCAAATGGAACAAAACTAAGATGTATTTTAAATTATCTGTGGTAAATTAAATGAAGATTTGAGACACACACGTGTGTATAATGAAGATATCTATATCTCTCTATCTCTATCTATCTATCTATCTATCTATCTATCTATCTATCTATCTATCTATCTATCTAATTTTCATCAATGTTTTTATGTTGTTCTAAAGATTCATGGAGCCTGGCAGAGTGGTGCACACTTACAATTCTAGCACTTAGGAAGTGGAGGCAGGGGTCAGGAGTTCCAGGTCATCTTCTACTACATGGGAAGCTTGAGACTAGCTTGTATTATATGAGACTTTGCCTCAAACAAAATAGAACAAAACAAAACAACGCTGGGTGAGGTGGTGCATGCCTTTAATCCCAGCACTTGAGAAGCAGAGGCAGGCTGATCTTGGAGAGATAAAGGCCAGCCTGGTTTACATAGTGAGTTCCAGGCCATTTGGGAGTACAGGGAAACCCTGCCTCAAAAATAAAAAAAAAAACACCTCAATAACCCCCACCCAAACCAAAACGAATTTTAAGCATTAATCAGAACCATTTATATAATTTAATATCAGTTAAAATATGTGATTTCTATCTCATCAAGGTACATTTTTAGAAACACTATTTTTTAAGAAAAGATTTATTATTTTATGTGTATTAGTGTTTGTCTGCAAACAGGTATATATATGTATGTGCATTATGAGTGTGCCTGGAGCCCTCTGAGGACAGAGGGTGTCTATGGATCCCCTGGAACTGGAGTTACAGACAGCTGTAAAACTGTCATGTGAATGCTGGGAACTGAACTCAGGACCTCTGCAAGAACAGCCAGTGCTCTTAACCACTGGGCCATCTCTCCAGCCCCTGAAACACTCTTTGATGTTTTAGGCCTTTAAGTAGAATGAAGTCAGAGATAAAAGATGAAGTAAAATGGAAATTTACCAACAAGAAGCAAGCTACAAGTATACTTTTCTTTTTCCCATGAATTTAGGGAAACAATCTGGAATAAAGATGACAGAAAAGCCCCCTTCCCCCAAAAGGTGGTTATTTTAATTCCAAGAAGGAAAAGAGGTGCCCAGGAACCTGCGGGACAATTCTTCATCATAACCACAAGGTGGCGATATTAGCCCAGAACAGTTTGGTTGCTGATTTTTAGGATTAACACCCCCAGCCCCTGATACACACCCCATTTGTGCCAGAAGGATATACACAATTTAGGGATACTGAGGGGAAGAGTGATCTAAGTTATACTACCTTATGAACCAAATTGTATAACTACATAAACAGGAGATGCAAGAAAATGTATATTACATCTCAGGAAATCTCACGCCACCCATGTCCACATCCTGAAGACTGTGCCAAAGGATCATGAACATTATGCTTTGCTGGGGTTTGACTGTTGCTCAGATTAATGAAAGCATGTCTCAGAATGTGTTGTTTCACTCAGGCATCTGACTTAACAAACATGACTGATCATCTCAAAATCACTATGATTTCCCTGTCCTGGCATCTTAATGTCTTCTATGTCCACATGAGCAACACACATATACAAACAGTTATATATGCACACATGTCTACAATGCAGAAATAAATACCAAGTTGCTATCTTCAAGTTGAGTCAAAGGAATACTAGTAAAAGAAAGATTTCAATGAACATCTTATGTTTTGGAAAAGTTTTCAATCTAGTCTGTGATTAAAAGAATAGTTATACTGATACTACTAGACTCCATACCTCCCAAATAACATTTGGTGACCAGGATATCAAAAGCCTATCCTTAGTCATTACTGTCACCTAAATATGAAAGTATAGTTAATAATTATAATATGACAATAATGACAAGCTGGATTGAAGGTACAATTAAGTAGTAGAACACTTGGTTAGCATGCGTGAGACTTCAGTTTGACCTGCAGCACCATACACAGAAATTTTATCAAAAGTGATTTTAACACAGTCTGTTTTCCTGTGTTGTTTTATAATATTAGATAATTTATTAATATAGGGTCTAAAGCCTGAAATCTAAGGGACTTAACAACTTGTAACACTTTAGTATTCATTCAACTGTGCATTAAACAAAGCTTTCCTTATTCTTTAAAATACTCCTTAAGAGTGCTCAAACCTATTTATCATTTATAAGCGCTCAGTACCTAAAAAAGAAAAATGAAATTACCACCTGTTTTTCAGTATCACAGTTCAGAGGAAAGCAGGTCTGACTGCATGCGTGCTAACCATGTACTTGTTCAGTGTGGCCAGCCACCACTGGAGAATGGGCTGGAAACCCATGGCTTTTCTTCTTCTCTGTTTTGAGGTTAACACTCCAGCAAGAGAAGGAGGGTGCGTTTTTTTCTTCTATCACACAAAATTGCACAAGTTATCTGAGAAGATGTTGGTCTGTTTGATGCTGACAGGAAGCATGGACCACAAAGTTGTTGATGACAGCTCTAATCCCAACACTGCTCAGCAGCCCTGCAGTGACAGTCCCACTGTGGCTGTGTGAGCCCTCTCCTCAGTTACTGCATTCTTGTGCTCTCTTCATCTCTCAGCTATCAAAACCTTACTGCTGAGCTAGGCAAGGTTCACGCCTGCAATTCCAGCCCCAGGGAGGCAGAAGCAAAGATCACTGCAAGTTTAAGGCCAGCCTGGCCATCACAGTGAGTTCCAGGTCAGCCATGTAATAGTGAGGCCCTGCATCATAATCAAAAAACAAAACCCATTAAACAACCCCCCCCAAACCCTTTATCTTTAGACTTTATTATATGAGTGATGCTCCTGATGGTATTTCATGAACAGAATGGTAAACACTTAATTCATCTCATTTTCAAGGGTAAAAGAAGGTATTGGTGAAAGAACATGCAAGTCGTGGTATTTGCACGATGGAATTAGCATGGATGAAATGAATACATGCTGTTTTCTAGAAGCAAAGTATATACTTACGAGAGTAAGATTTGGGAATTATTGCATGAAAATCCCTAAAGCCATCAGGCCCATATGCAACTGCAATAAAGAAGGCAAAAGAAAGCTAGGTTGTAATACCATTAAAGACACAGTAGTATTTTAAAACACAGTGCTATTTTAAAAAGCATATTATTGGTCAAAACCATTGGTTTGCTACTAATTTGCTACTGTTGGTGCTCACACAGGCAAATAAAGTCACTGCTTAGAACAGGATTTCAATCCCCAAAGGTCTCAACTCACAGAACATCATCATCAGAACTATTGTGAGCAGGCTCTGATGGGCTAAGCATTGAGAGGCAGACCTCAAACCGTTCTCAAACTCAGAGAACCCTTTCAGCACTGTTGGCCCACCATCTCGGCCTTAATACAGTATCCCACGGGAGAGAGCACACGTCTCCACAACGTGGTATGCTTTTTCATGCGCAGGCTGTGACGCAACTGTTCTTCATTCACCTTTTTCTTAGAAAGTATTCAAAGAAAATTAGAAAATTTCCAAACAGCATGTTGGTTGGGGGGAAAATTATGCTTCTCAGAGCTACCAATTTCTGTGGGCACTCCTTATCAACTGCTTTCATAAATGAATCAAGTCTTCCTGTTCTTACTCCATTTCACAGGCAACTTCTGGTGGGTTCTTATGTCTTAAGGATTGGTATATTGTATACATGGGGCCTGCATGTGTGTATACATACATACACACATTGGGTGCACACATCTATGGTTTTCCTCCAAGAATCACACTCCAGTAACAGTCATGTGCATGATGTAGCTGGCTAAATTTAGCTTGTTGGACCAACTACTGAAGTATCAGAGAAAGACTGAAGTAAACTTAAAGAAGCAGACACACTCATCAAACTGTGTTTAGATCATCATTTTGCAAACTTGTTTGGGCACAGACCCTCCCATTTCTTCATTAAGAACTTTGTGTGTTTGTGTGGGGTATGTGTATGCATGTATACTGGCAGTTATGTTCACACACATATGCACATGCATGGCGAGCCCAGAGATCAGCATCAAGATATCTTCCTCTATTGCGATCTACCTTATTTTTTGAGACAGGGTCTCTCGCTGAACTTGTAGCTCACCAAGTCAACTAGACTGGCGGGCCAGGAGGCTCAGGGATCCACCTGTTTCTAAACACAGGGAGACATTTTGAAACCCCCTTCTTGGAATGACTGGCTTAGCCATCTCTTGACAAACCCATGCTTTTCATCTATTTCTAAATCGCATGAGGTAAAGTCAGTATCATGCATCCCACTGGAGTCATTATAAACTGGTCTTTTGGGCTGGCAAGATGGCTCAGTGGGTAAAGGTGCTTGTTGCCAACCCTGAGGGTATGAGTTTGATACCTAAGATCTGGGTTCAGTGCCCTGCAAGTTGTCATCTGACCTGCACATGCACACAGTGGTATGCACCGCTCACATATAGACATAATAATTAAATAAATGGAACTTTTTTCATAAATCAGTTTGTAGGGATGGCCTGTAATCAGCCAATAACAGAATGCTACATGCCACTCTCAATGAGCTCTAGACCCTCTATGTAAATTTTTTCAACTTAGTTATTTTTGTGTCATAGGAGAGCTAGTACTTTAGATCAGGGGAAAGGCAAATGTGTTTCACAGGGTAACAGCAAGTGCTGCCTTTTTAAGGTGGGTGCAACACAATAGATGGAGCAAAAGGCAAGTCTCTGAGTAGGTGGCATCAAGCTGAGATGGAACTGGTACTGAAGACAATGCTCATATTGTCCAATGGGAATCACCCTCCTAACATATCCCTTCAACCATAGGGCCACAGCTCAGTAACATGCTATGTCTATGCTGACAGGGCACTCAGAAGTTGGGATGTATTGGTACTCTCTGGGATGGCTTATAGTCTATGTGCCATTAGAAGATGTAGATGAAGCGTTGGGCAATCCCACTGTAAGTTTTGGAATATGTTCTTCTGTCAGAATGCTTTCCACTGTGCACATTACTATTTAATGTATAGGCTATGATGGTGCATCCCTTACCATGAAATGTTAATCCCTTTTCAAAAGAATCAGTTCTTTGCCTGGGATAATTCAAATCAGCTTGCAAATCTGTGCCTGAAATTTTGATGCCCTAAAAATATTAAAAGTTTAAAAACAAAATAAAAATATCAAGTTCTGTTTTGGCATGGTAAAGGTGAACTGGTAAGGACTCGTGTTCATGTACTGTGTGTTCAAACACACAGCCTGGGTTTAGAAGAGGCATTCTACAGTGTTCTATGTGGATTGGTAACAAGGCAACCCTCATCTATGCTGAAACCCAGTCCCTTGTGCTAACCATTCAGCAGCTTTGTAAATGCCAGTTGCATACAAACCACTTTTCAGACAGCCTCAGAGCCTCATGATGAGTCTGTGAGACAGGCACCATCACTGTTTTGACAGTAAGGGATCTTGGGATCAAAGGAAGCTCTAGATTTGCCATCTTGGTGGTTGGCATTTAAATGTGCAAATTTAAGCCAGTTAATATATGGCAGCCAGTATTCAAAATACATTCTCCCAAGCAATCTTCCTCGGGTTCTTGTGAGGCACTGGGAAATATATATGCTACTGTAGCTACGCATACATTTACACACACTCGGTGTGTACACATGCATGCACATACAATTGTTTGTACATCTGCACATGATCACGTGGGTGACAATACACATATAAGAGGTTCTCCTAAACAATGAACACACAGCCACCAGTGGCTTGGAGAGTGTTGCCAATGCATCTTTGCTTAGTTTTACCTGCTGCATAGCCCTCACAGCTAGGTCTGGCATTCCTCATACACATCGAAGGTAGGAGCCTTTACAAAGACACAGGAGAGGTGAGCCCAGGGGTCGCTGAGAGTTTCTTGTCCTTTCTGAGCTAGCTGGCCACAATGGCTTCTCTAGTCAATCAATCCCAATTTGTTTCAGGACACAGGTGCTGGCTACTGGCTCTTTAGGGCTCACTATGCTCAGGACAGCCTAATCAAGTTGAGTTTCTGGCTCAACAGCAGATTGTCCCCCTATGGTGGGATCTGGGAAGCTACTCAGTGATTCACTCACAGCTTTATCCTCATTCCTTAGAAATTCTACCCCCAATTTCAAGCTATTGTTTTATGAAAGGGCACAGATAACAAAATGCACTGAATATTTTTTTTTTGCATTGAATACTTTTACAAGTCTTTTAAAAGTCATGAAACACATTCTTATCAAGAGCACATTTAGGTGTCTTCCAGGGATTTCTATCCTGCAAAGTCTTACAATCACCACAACATGCAGTGAACAACTCAGATTCTGAATCCTATATGAACTGCCAAAATGATGAATATTACGGGGGGAAAAGGTGACATGCCACAAACCATACCCTTTGGTATCCACTAGCTGTGTGATTCATGAGTTTCTCCTGATGCTTCAGTTCACAGAGACTGAAACAGACTGGAGATTTTCAGCATGAGCGGGAGGACATCTCTTTTTTTTTTCTTCCTTCCTTCCTTCCTTCCTTCCTTCCTTCCTTCCTTCCTTCCTTTCTTTCTTTCTTTCTTTCTTTCTTTCTTTCTTTCTTTCTTTCTTCTTCCTTCTTTTCTGGCCCCTCCCTCCCTCCCTCCCTCTTCTTTCTTTTTTTTTGATACAGGGTCTCCCTGTAGCCCCAGCTAGCCTGGCACCTGCTATATAGAGCAGGCTGATTTCCTTGATCTCACAGAGATCCATCTGCCTCTGCCTCCTAAGTGTTGGAACTAAAGGCATGCGCCACCATGCCCAGCAACATCTCTTTACTTTCAAGTATAAGAAGTATAGTAACCATTTCTATGGAAGGTCAATAGTTCAGATTTGTATTTAGAAGAATTTATAACTATGTTGTAGACTGATTTTTATAATATATTCTTTAAGTAATGTTAACCTACTAGCCACAGGGAAGTCAATGGTCTTTCATTAACATGCCTGCACAGCTCCCAGTGACCTTGGTGATGTCTATAGACCTAATGGAGGGGCAGTTTGTGGATGTGGTTGAGATAGCAAGAAGGACAGGGCTGGGCAGCAAAGGACAGGCAGAGAAGAGGGGGAGGCTTCCAAAGACACCTAGGCCATGTTCCTGCATGAGCAGTGGTCATGTAGGATGAAGCTCAATGCTTGTCCTCTTAGAACCCAGACATGTCATAGATGGACATTTGTTGTGAACACCCTGTTGGCTAGGTGGCTCAGGGTTTTCTCACAGGAAGAAGATACTACTAGCAAGCTGTCATCACTCACTGAAGATACTGTGGTTCCAGACTTGTAAAGAGATTGCTAAAATACAAACAAGCTCAATGTCCTGTCTGTGGATATAGAGCTGAGGAGTGCTGGTATGAGATCTTACGCCTACACTGAGTGGCTTCCACCGCTTACTCAGATGCAGTGTCAGAACAGCTCTGGAGCTGTCACACCTCCCCCCACCAGTCCACCAGCTCCTTCTGTTCAGACTTCAAGAGTCCTGCTGTGGTCCTGATGTTCAATGCAGTCCTGTGTCATGCATGCCCCATAACAATCACCTTCCAGTCAACAGACATGCAAGACTGGCAAGAAGTCAACAGAATTATGCCAGGTTAGATGGCAGAATGCACTTGGGTTTCATCCTGACCACCACCTTTCTTCCCTCTGGATCCCAGATGGCTATCCATCTCCAAACCCACCCTCTTTCCCTGGCCCGGCTTTCTTTCTGCATCTCCACATGTGCCAATGACCTAGATTTTACCCAGTCAAACCCACCAGAGCTCCTCCACTCTCAACCCCATAGTCAAATGATCATCTCAGCTTCTTAGAGAGGCAGTCACCACATTTCTCTTACTGTTCTCCAATCATATAATCTTCCAGCACATTCATAAAGCTATTGCCACCACCCCTGCCACTGCCTAGCCAAGGCTGTGGTCTGATAACAACTGCCTGGGATTCCTGCTCACCATCATGCATGTAGCTGGCCTCTGTGTGCATTGCAGGCTGCAACCTTCGGGCTCCCATCCAATTCACCTTCCACTGGTCTCTGAAGTGCTGCCCTTTGAAGGTCACTCTAAT